GGGTTACGCTCATTTTCGATCTCTGCACCCCTGGAATATGTCATAGCAAAATCGAAGGCTCCGTGTGAAGCGCCTTGAGAATGAGGCGACAAGACTGGTTTGGTCCTTTAATGTATGCGGTCGCGTAACGGTAAAACTTATTGGCTTTGAAGTCGGTCGTCGTTCCTCTGTAATAGTATCAGCCTAGTGATTGTTCAGGGTTTTGTACTTGACACCAATCAAATAGCTTTGATATTTGTTCGGATAATTTCTAAAATATCGGTCTTGTGCTAGTCTAACACCACGGAAGGTATCAAAACGTATGACGCCATCACTCACTGTGAGACGTCGTCCTGGTAAGATGAATAAGCAAATTAAGATGTAAAAACAACAATTTGAAAACAATCTATGAATGGAAGTACTTACCGCGCTCCGCGGAATAACAGAGTGATCAGGTTGATAATATGCTGATGTATTCATACGCCAACTGAATAGTTCATTGAAAAATAACCTTTAAAATGTTAAGTAGGCATATTGACACCAAGTTCAGTAGAAATGTAAATATTGTCACATGCCATTTATATATGTTGTCGTTGTAGAAACATGAATTCGATACGTCCGGTAATATATATTTATAGTCCCGATAATCTTTGTGGAAACCCAGTGCTTCTTTTTTATTGGAGTTTGGTCCTAAATCGTTTAAATTATCGGTGAATCGTAAAACTATACAAAAACAACGAAACAACACAGTTTTACATACTAACTAAATATATAACCGTGCTGTTAATGCTTGTATGATTTACGCCGATTTGATAGTTGATATTTTGTAACATTATTTTCCTAGATTTTCTCATCAGGAACCTATCCGTAAAAAACCTTGACAACGGTGGTATTCTAGGATAGTTTCATAACTTTGGTGCCATTAAATTCTATATTGAATAAATTGTTGGATATATTGATATAAATTGTAAAACGTTGCTTTTTTTTTTATATAATATTTGTTAATATTTGATCGAAATTGAACCGAAGAAAATGGTTTATTGAAATGAGGTTTCGTACTGCGAATAAAGTGTTAATAACGATACGCAGCTATACAAAAGGATTTTTCAAACCGTTATTTACTTTATATTGATTTTTCACTGGAGCTCACATTCTTTAGAGAAACAAATTCAGATGATTTCTCATGGATGGTATTAAACAGAATTTTGTGTTTGATGCAACGTTAAATAGCATATAGTCTATTGATTAACTTGTTGTGAAGCCTCATTACCTTAATAACGTTGTGTGACTGATACATTTTCCGGATTACAAAACCTAACAAGAAACCTTACTTTGTGTGAGGATTGTTTTTGCAATGATTTAAAAACAAAAAAATGGGCGAAAATATTATCTTTGCCACGTTGTTCAAAGCATGGTTAGATTGATGATGCGTACATGGATATTTGCAAAATGGGGCCTTTGAGAAAAACCAGAATATTTTAATAAAATCGTTTGGTTATCGACAGACGTCATTTTAAAAGGTCATATAACCGGCTCCTAGGAAGGCACTACTGAAAGGGGTAAGGCTGTTAGAAAAGAAGTTATCTAGATTTAAAGATGTTCAATCGGGTAGCAGATCAATTTTGGATTCTTCACTGTCATTCTTTGCAGAAGACACGAAAAGGAAAACACCATTTCTGCAAGAGTGATACACTAGTCACCATTTTAGGATCATACAGTGGTATATTACAGGCCTATTCAATGTCCCATTTCCAGGAGGCACGAAAGAAATATCAATTCCTGCAAGAGGGGTACATTAGTCGCCTTGTACGATCATGCAGTGGTATACAGCAGCAGGCCTACGCTTTCCCTGAACATGCACAGGTCAAAACGAGGACGATTAAATGTTTTCGCATAGTTGTTGTTAAACTGATTAGGAGTTACAAAACTGGGTCTCGGATCCCTTAAAGCTAAAACAGTGTGATACATCCATTTCCAAAGCTTTGTCTGGACTCTTGCATAGCAGTATTCGTTGCCTGTGTTGTCTTGCAGCCTTCCTTTGAATAGGTTTGTCAAAACATGTTTCTAAACATTCTCGTCATTAAAAGTCGTTCATAGAAAATCAATAGGATGGCTCAATCCAGAATGATATGGATGATATTATAAGAAAAAGTATCATATCTGATAGATAAACAAATCACGTTATCTACGTTTTACTTACATAATATATATATGCAAGACAATAAGATTTTTTTTAATTCACGAATTAGAGGTATGTTATGCAAAAATGTTTGCTTCTGAATGTTCATATTTAAACTTGCAACGGTAAAGACTGATTTACCCTTTGTCAGTATAACGTGAACAGGTGAAGTACTGTGCTGAGTTGTTTTGGGCTTGGTATTTCAGTAAAGTAGCACTTCTTATTCGGCATCAGATCTGCGTTTTTCGTTTCCTTAATTTCCAGTTTATTTTCTTTCCTTTCTACTTCCTCTTTCCGGAGTTATTTCCCTTCGTACTCTAATTACTCTGGCTGTTGCGAAGACGTAAAACCCCAAAAGAACAAGCAACCTGCGGTATGGCAGGGAGGCAAGTACACCAAGATACCACATAAAGAACACAATACACATAGATGAAGGACGCTAAACCCGATAAAGCCAAACAAAACTGGTAAACCGGTAGTCATCATTATAAAGTAATTAAGAAGAGTATCATAACACCGTCTCCAGACTTTGACATTTCAATGAGATAACACTTCGTCCTCAGAAGTTATTTGCTTGTGAGATCACATAAAACCGTATTAACTAACGTGTGTAAAATAGAAGAAAAAAATCCTGATTTAACCAACGAAAGAAATTTGTTTTTAACTTTGACCTAGAACACTTTTGAACAGAAAAGGATTACGAATTTATTTAAGTTTAGTTAATTAATTGAATTCACCCTGAAAATAGGCGTCATGCAAAAAATGTTTTCGTGATGTTCCTTAGAGAGGTCTTGATTTTATCTGTTTGTCTTGTGATTGTTTTAAATCGTTTTCTGTTCGGGGTTTTAACTACTGGGTCTCTTTATTTGTCCTCATTCTAGATCTAGTTTTCTCTTAGGCATTTGGTGCGGTTTCCTTCGCCCAATTCTATCTTGATGATTTTAAATGCATTTTTTAAAACAAATTGTTTGCTTTTAATGTAAGGGAGAAGCTGTTAATTTGTCTCCAGGGATGTGCTAGCACTATCAGGTCTGTATGAATAATTTGTAACCATTTCATTAAAATCCTCATTAAAGTCTAAATCATCAGTCGCTATGTGGTTGTTACATAATGACTAATTGAATGTAAAGACCTCATCATCTGTGGGCACCGTCCAAATACGTAAAACCCTTATCAATCAATCGCATGAAATACTATTTGATAAATCCTTAAATGAATAACAATAATGAAAATGAACAAAAACAGGGATGCTTAACATGGATGATGAAATCTATCAACACACAATGAGCGTGAAACAGGATTTAAATGATTAAGGGGCGAAATAATTACAATTTAGACGCCGAAAGGAAATAAAACCGACATGTTAAATGGAGTGAATGAGAAACTGTCAATTAAGCTATTTAATGAATTCCTATTTCAAGAAAACAAAACATGTTGTTGTGTTCCTTATATGTCCGAGTCGGTTGGATATCCTCCGGGAAAAGTACTTCGTAAATAAAAATCTCGCTTCCACGCTGCGGTGAACCTTATAGCTGAGTCTGTGTTTTCTGCGGACCCGAAGCTTCAATTTGTTAGCAATTGTGTGTTCTGTCCATAGGACCGTTAGCACCTTTTATTTAACGGGTTTGTAGTGTGGTCAATCACAGAGGATTGCCTTAGCTAGGTACAGTTCTATTATCTCGTCTCACATTTGTTCCGTCGTCTGCTCATGTACGATAAATCCCTGTTGTTGACACATCAACAAATTTCCCCAGGACATCGACTGTTCTTGATGTTATGGTACATCCGAATGGTCACTACATTGAGTGTCTGTGTAGGAATGTTCGCTTTTTACATGTGCTCATATTGTACTGATTTTTCCTGTTTAAAATAGACACAAAGGAATACAGAGTATGTATGAATAGCTCGAGATATCTATCAAGCGACAACTGTCGGATAGTATCTTTCCAATAGCTTTCTATTTTAATTTGATTTTACACCGACGAAATACGCGAAGAATTGATAATGTCACAAAAGGCTACGCTGATATAAATATCACTTTTACTATTATGTAAATTCAAGAATAGAATACTAAAGCTCAAACGTGCTTGACGTTATGACCTGTTGGTCGTATTAAAAACTGATAAACATTAAAGCATATTTTCAATAGCTTGCGATTGTTTTTGAGATACTCCTTTTATTTCAGTATTTGCGAGTATAGTTCATGCTGTTTACTCCCTACATGTGAAGTCACAGAAACAATGGACAGGAACATTTTTATTTGAACAGAACGCTTTTCGAAAAGAAACGTTAACTATACATCTTCCCAAGTCAAGAGATTGACATCAAGTTATTTTAGTAGGTGCCTACTTCATGAGAAGAGTTATCGAGAATATTCAAATTTCTAACGAAAAATGCAATCGCATTACGTAAAAATATAGATTTGGTGCACACATATACTCATTCGCAAATCCAAACCAATGCTAGTGATTCGTTTGCGGCGCATTTGCTGAAACTAAAATGTTATGTTGCCTTTGCATTACATTCTTATTCCTAACGTTGTACATACAGCCGATAAATCTGGACGCTAATTCAAGGGATGACGAAAGGTTGACCCTACTACTAAGTTCAAACTACTTGAACTTTTGGTCTGCTACTGGACGTTTCTTTCGGGCGATATTCGTTATAGACAGAAACAACAGACAGAGAAAAAAAACAACAATATTTTACAACGATTGTAGTCAGTTTATATTACTCTAGTTCCAGCACATCATCCTGTTGTTGTTACCTCTTTATCCCATAGCTGTGGGCATTGATTTGTTTATGTACGTCATAATCAAATACTACAGGAGTGTACGGTCCATGCATCCGGCCATGTTAGTTAGACTAGGTTACAAGCACGCTGTATACATCTATCTGTTTACTATTACCCCTTCATACTCTCCTAACGTCGCCTCTGCTGCGATGGTACCGGGCGTTCGCCATATATTGGCTTTGCAGATAATCTCAGAGTGAGAGAGGACGGCTAAAAGGCTATCAGCCTTAGTATAGACACACATCACACAGTATCAACACTCAGACCGTCTACTTCTACCAGCTGACGACCTGCTAGTTACACCGGAGTACAGGTATGTACAGTTGTCAGGGCACCAGGTGTGTTTTATATCAGCTTGCACTTGTCCACGAAAGACATGTATGGGCAAACACGTCAACACTTCAGATATATATATTGTTTATGTCTTACTTGGATATTATTTCAACGTATGTTTTTGTATGTCAATAGAAATCATATATGAGAGTTTGCTCGTCCAGTAATATGCATGTTACATGCAGTCTGATGTCAACTTTCATTTTCACGATGCACAGGTCTGTGATTCAATATTTGTTTGATAATTCATGCAATATGGCTTCTTTAACCATTAAAAAAAGCTAAACGTAGATTTCAGATGTATTCGATATTCTTAATGGGAATGCTTTTTTGAATATTTCATTGATCAATTAAAGTATATTGTATGATACAATCAAAAAAACAACAGGATTGTTATACAACTCTGATCGCCCTGTGCTATTGGTTTTAAAATGTTTTAGATATTAGGAAATTGGGGTCTGGACAGAGTGTCGTTATCATTTTTTGTCTTTATTAGTTGTACAATCTATAGAAAAATGTCATTTGCTGGAAGTTTCTAGTTAGTTTGTTGTGACATTTCCTTTTAAACTGTTTGTATTTCAAAATGTATTTAACAAACGATCCTTGGATTCATTATAGTAAATTAATATTTTAATACATAAATGTTAATGGTTTTGCTGTCAATATTTCGTTCAAATTACGAACAAGGGACAATACCCGATTCATAGTTTACGCTCTGTTAACGAGTGCACAATTCCTACGTGATGAACTGCCAACGTTTACGACCTTCGTTCATGACAAATTAAAACATGTATAGTTATATTTAGGAGATAAATAATGAATTAACTGTGATTTTTTAAACAGAATAATAAACGTTGTAAAACGACTGTAAATTGTAACTGTTCTAAAGGAAATATGTCAAATGAATATATGTATCGTTAGCATACAGATGATATCTTAAATGAGTTGATTATTATTGGGTTTAGTATTTGTCGTCATCTAATGAGATTTGAAAAGGGTGAAATAGCGTATTTACATTTATTATATACGTAATTTCTTTTACTATACTGATGCATGCGTTTTTAACCAATATGACAGTAACCTTGTATATACATGTATGATGCAGTCATTAACGTTTGATATATGTATGATACGAACTATTGTTATACATACGTCGATCTGATTTCCTTATTACTCGGAACTCATCCGCTGTTACCCACTAACGAAATCGATAAAAGGTTCCGAATATGTTTATGTCGTTGCCATGAACACATTAATTAGACTTTTTTCTCTGACATGGCTGATCGGCATCAGTTTTTGGAAGCTGTTTGATCATTAATCGTGTGAATATATGAATTTTTAATGCACATAAACATTAACTGAAGGTAAATAGTAAAGATAAAGCCACTTACCTGCACTCATCTGACATGAATATAGCATTCAATTATTGCTTAGACGTTTACAGTTAAACACTTAATTAGAATGCATTGACTTGCAACCAAAACGAGAAAATGTCTATAATAACTTTGTATGTCTTAAATCTCTTTTCAAAATATAATTTGTTTGAGTAATGTTAAACCATACGATGTTGGCTTGTTTCAAAAGATACGAGTCCCCATAGCCTCTCTCAATGTTCAAGTTGACGTTTGTCTTTTACCTCGACGTTTGTTTGATGTCATTTTTATTTTACATTTATTTTTATCGAACATTTATTGGCCCTTAAGACATGCGCTGTGTTGATTGGCCTTTAAACATGTAATGATATTGGACGAGAACAATTCGTTGTGCATAAAGCTACCAATCAATCTTTCTGTCTGCATAAAATACATCTACAACCTCAGATGAATACATAGGCTTTGTATTATTATAACACGTGAAACGACTTTGAACTCAATTTGTCAGAAGACAGATTCAAAACTCTAATGTTTTGTAGGCTTTTGGGGTTTATTTTATTTGAGAAGACTTGGATCATACATGAAGAAACAAGGTTTAGTTAGCCGTTGCAATAAGCTGTAGTTCATATGACGGCCCGTAGAGTAGGGAAATGTCACTTCGGCAATTAAATCTCTGACGCCTATTAGGTCTTACATGACCGGATCAGGTGTCTTGCCACCAAATCGTCCCATTTCAGTGTGTAAACACTTTGAAACAACCTTTACATTATCCAATCAACTGTGAATGACGTCGTCATATGAACATAGGGAATTCATTATATGACGCCTATGAACATTGTCGGTGTTGTAAAAACCAGGTGTGCACATCTGCATCCATGTATAACAGGAAGGTCACAAGAAGATTTCATCTCATGTGGCGCCCACAAATCCTTTAATATGCAATATTGTCATGGTTTTAATGAACTGGATTTATTCCGATTAGCTGTTGTAAACCAAGGACCATATAAAATCAACCAAAGCTAGCAACCAAAACTTTGAAAAAATCCATTAATTTAAAGGATTTCTTGGTCTTTCATCATTTAGGGACAGATTTGTATTGATACTTTTGATTGAACTTGTATCATGTTCCTGGAACGTCTACAATGGAATAGTATGGTGTTGAAACCTTATGTAGAGAGAAATTGTTTACATAACCTCCAGGGTACCATTGTGTGATTACAGTCTTGATCTGTTGTGTGTTTGCAAAGGATATATGGTTGCTAGCTCTGTGGACGCTTCAAAAGGAAGCTTGTCTGAACGATTTGATGTCAAAGTCGAAATGTTACATTTCTGTAATTCAATTTCAAAAGAAAAGTGAATCTCTAAATAGAACATGTATGTTGTCTGAGATAGTTTGCATGATTGTAAAGCTAAAGTTATTTTACATTGTTCACGACATGTACAGTTATACGTGGTAGGTTTACTGCACGAAGAAACAACACCGACAATAAGGAAACCATTTGATATCTGTCTTCTGCTATATTACATCAGAACGGAAGTTTTATTGATATGGATTCGGCCATTTCAAAACGAAAGCATTTCCCAGATGTCATAATAAAATGAAATAGCACGGTATGTTTGAGCCTTGTTATGTGCAGTGGTGGAGACATTTATGATATTTATTGATATTTTACTACTTTTTCCTAGCACTGTAAAGCTGATTTTCTGTCCTACCTAATTACACCACTGATTATACATTACCTAATTTGACAACAATGATACTAGAAGGTTTCGGGAAAGTTCCTGTCACGATTCTTTGTCATTGCCTACAGTATAAATTACTGGACCTATTAAATTCCTTATGGACATAAATAGGAAGTCTAAGCTAAGATAATGACAGTCTGCTTTAACAATGACATCAAAGTGGTAGTAAAATACCTTAGCGATACTTAAAGACACTACAGGCTACTGTCGTGATAGGTTATGTTATCACTTTGAATATGCCCTTTCGTATGGTAATCAGATATTCAGTTTTATTTAATTTGGTAGCTTTCTTTATACTATGCTATTGTCAATTTCATCCAACTATGCTGCTTTGCGGAGAAAATGGTCTGGGATAATGTCAAATAGCATCACAGTGTAAATGTACCCACGTTGCTGAACAGTTACCTCCAGTGTGAAGGTAATTTCTAAGAATGTCAATAAAAAGGTATTCACGTATGTCTGCAGGTTTAAGGAAAGTACGGGGCCCCTGCAGAATTAAAGTACAACGGTGATCCCAGTAAGATTCTTCCTTAGGTTATATATTCCTACTTACTTCCGTTCCGTACGACAATTTTCTTGTCACATCCTGAAGCTCAACATTGTTAATGAAAATTTTAGCATTTATGTTACGATGTCTTGCGTACTTTGGACAAGTGCCCCTCTCGGTAGGTTCAGCTTGCTGGTAAAGGTCAAATGTCGGTTTTCTTCCGTGTTTTCTGATAAATGTAGAAATTCTAATCAAAACGGCATCAAAACTATGTGGTGTTATATATGGTTACACGGTAAAACATTGGTAAACGGCCTCTGTGACAAGAGAAACACGGAAGTAATAAATTGAACTAGTACAAAGGAATGAAAGTTTAAGTTTTTTGTGCTATATTTTATATCCAATAAATTTCCTACTTTTCTTGTTTTCATTGTCTGTGTTGGCTCAGTTTCCTTTTATCCTAGTTTAACGGAATGTGCACTGCATGACCTTATTGAATTATATCTACACACCAAGCACTGCGTTAGGTACTAGCCTGATCAGAGCCTGTTTGTCCACTCTCGTACCATAACATGACGTTGAGCAGCTCTGTAGTACATATTGACTGTGTCGGTGGGATCGGTTCGTACTACGCGTGTTCCATTACAATCCCATCTCTATCCGGTAACAGATTGCTCCCCACTTCATGGTAGTTTTTGTATCTGTTCAATTACATATAAACACACATGTTGCGCGTATGTAGATTGTTTACCTGACAAACTATGGAAAAGCTATTACCAGTAACGAGAAATTTAAAGACGACATCTCTTGTGTTGCATATGATTTGATTTATGCAGACAAATACCATATACATGAATATTTTTTGTGTGATTTATATTAAAGATGTGCTATATATGTATTTTTTTTTGTTTATGTTATATAATTATTTAACGAATGATATTTGAACAAAGTGACTAGAACTAATAGTAGATCTAGACCAACCAACGTATAACCTTCGACTTATTTTCTTAAGTTCTCAAGTGATTTTTCTGCTGTGCATTAGGTAGTATTTTGTTCTCCGGTGTTACTTCGTAACTCTGATGTAAGTTTAGACAATTTGGATTTTTGGTCCTTAGCATCACCTACAGACCCTGGACCGTTTTTGTTTACCAAAAGTGCGTTGCGTTTCCGTTGCGTTTGCGTTGCGTTTCCATTGCGTTTGCTTTGACCGTTTGATGTGCGTTTTAAATTTAGCGTTGAATGCGTTAAATATGCGTTTTTCTTGTTATTTAAGAAAACGATCGATGGCTATTTACAGGTTATTTTAAGAATATGTGAGTGCTGAAATGTTTTTATATAAAAAAAAATAGTTATATGTATAACAAAGTTTGCAAGTTA